GATATACGTGGGACATATCCATGCCGGATTTCAATGCACGAAAGAGGGAAACGAGGGAAACTGCCCTCCGATAAAGGACAGGTAGTCAGATGCTACGGGTTCCTTAGGCGAGGCTTCTACGATTTATGTCTAAATTTATTCACCAAAAACAGAACGCATCAGATTCGGTCTGCTGGCCCGGAGCGACCCGGCAGCGTGTTCCCTCGACGCAACTTACCGCAATTTTATTCGTTTTTACATACGGGCCGGGGCCAGCGATAAGAAAATGCCCCATGATATTTCACGTTTTTATACGCGGCTGCTTTTGCCTTGAGGTGTTGGCTGGCCTTGTTCGCCCCCTCGCCCCATAGAAACGTTACGTGGTCTGGCTAGCGCCTGATATGCGAAATAAGTAGCCCCGGGCCATTAGAAACCCGTAGCCTCGTTAACTCGATACACCGTAATCCTGAAACTCGTCCACCAAGATGGCCTTTTGCCACAACCTACACTGCCCTCTCTCCCCCTTTCTCGATCCCGCTGTTTCTTCCAGGGAAGTTGTCCCTCGGAGAGAGATGTCCGTTTATCGAAGGACCGGTCCCTGTATACGCTACATCAATTTCCACGGAGGAGCAATAGGATTCGCTTTTCCTACCTCCGAGCGTTTCGTGATCTCCGAACGTGACGCGCATTCAGTCGGTTGTTTCACGTTCGACGTCCCGATGTTAATGGATCTTAACCCCCTGGAACAGTATCGTCCATTTGCGGATGACTGTAACTAGAGTCCTGCCGGGCTACTGAAACTCACGATGTCTGATCTTATATTTCGTATTTTGCGTTTTCCGTGACGGAGATTGGCGATTTTCGCGTCGATCGAATCGAATTGAATTAGAGTTAACATTCGAATAGTGTTAATAGTTTGAAAGAGAATCGTACGACGACGAACCTGAGTTTGATTTAAAGTTTGAAGACTCTGCTTTTGAGACGGACCATTTATTTTATCACGTGACTAATGAGTAAGATTAGCTTGCATTAAAGATTAATTTCATTGATTCGTTGCTTCCAAATCGTTTGACTTTTTCAAACGTTGAACATCTTCTATTTTAGAGAAAGCTCTTTTTTAAAATTAATTGTTTTAAACATTCTTTTTTAACCACAGGAAATGACACTCTTATTAATACACTCGGAATACACTAAATATTGAAACTGTTGTAATTTCGTAAAAAGCCTGGAACCTCTACTATCGAGAAACAT